CGTAAAGTTTTGATAATAAATAAGATATAAATCGACGGGATATATATATAATAATAAGGGGTAGAAATTAACTAAGCGATGATATAAAAAGACTTGTTTATCGTTGTAGTCTCTCCCTATAACTTAACCTCTTAGCATTATTAATTATCTAACCTAAAGCAACGAACTAATATTCGCGGAAGGTAATGTGCAGGGGTAAACTGTACTCACGTTTGAGTATTATAATTATATGTATGGCTACTATCTTTTAAGGAAAGTTAATAAGTGATTAACTTTTGTTGCTACGCTAAAGCTATAAAATTAAAACTACGTACTATATATAATGCCTATTAACTCCTATCTTTGCTTATAAGACGCTGTTAGTATAGTCCCCTAAAGCATAGAAAACGATAAGCTAAAGAGTTTGCAGAATTTTTAATGTTAATATATATAGAAATAATAAAGTAATACTTGAGTTAAGAACAGGAGGTAGTAATGGCTATCCGAAATGAGCCCTTATAAAGTTAATACGCATTTAATATTACTGCTAGTATATACGAACTATCCTAGGAAGTTTTTGGTTTTACTTAGTGATATATTTATACTTTAGTGTTTTTATGGATAATTATTATACTATTAAGTTAAATATAGCGAACAGTCCAACAATCAAGGCAGTATTAGCTGCCTTAACCAACTATATAATTGGAACGGCAAAAGCGGCGTGTTAAACTTGTAATATTAATGCTATATAATATTAAGTTACACTTTGTCTGGAGGCCGAAAAAAGGAGGGGTTATAGGAAAGCTTGGTGTGTTGCTGATAAATATTAAGCTATTAGTTATTACAGAGCGGTCTAGTGACTCGGAATGGTCGCTTAAAGGTCAGGCTAAATTCTATGGAAGTCTGTTTATGGTTAAATGCGCGACTGATATTTAGTGGAAAATAAAACGGTAATTATTTCAGAATCTTTTATAATCTTGGTGGCTGAAGAAAAGGGCACTATTTCAGATGCTTATCCTCAAAGAGGTATGTGTCTTAAGTGATGATATGGCTGTAGTATAAAGCACAGGTCCTACTAGAATATTGCTTATAAACCTGAACCTTGCCTACTCTTCAGGTGATCTGCAGAGGGTTTCCCACATAGTTTTTTCGTCTCGGGGGGGGATCAACCACCCTCCCGTACGGGGGAGGTTGAGGTAACAGAAGGTAACCCAGCATCATGTTACCTTTCGGGCTGTCAACGAGGAAAATATCAACCCGGAAATTTCGACAGCCTTGAGGTCTCCGCGAACGCGCTTTGTCCTAAGCTATTACAAAGCCTCCCATTCAATTTGATACGTTGCCATGTCTTCTCACTCTTCATCCCCGGTCTCTGCAATCTAGTTTCGGCTAGACTATCTCTCTAGGATCTGCGGCTTACAT